AAAGTGATCAGACGCCTAAAATTTGAAGTTTGAAATTTCTTGTATGAAACAGAAAAGCAGCAATAAGACCTTCTGCTGCCTAAATAATTTAACCTTATGAAAGAATTCTGCATATGACATTGATTTATTGTAATTTTGATTGTGACATATAGAATAAACCCCAAATTTAGTTTGATTTCTCAGATGTATTCCTGTTTTTTCTACCATAAATATCTCGAAGCATCCAAATTTGCCTTTTGTTTTCAGCCTCCTTTCAGCTAGCAAACTAGCAGTGTGCAGCAACAGGGGGGGAGGAAACATGATCTTTAAAGGTCAGCTGCTCATAGATCATGACAGCCAAGTTTTTAGCTACCTTTGATGGAGCGAGAGATATGAATTCGGTTTGAAAGCAGACATTGTGGTGTATGGTCAAATACGGCTGGAAAGAGAAGCAGTTTTTGGGAGGTTTAGCTGGAGGCAATGAGCGTTGGTCCAGGATCTGAAGGGAGAAAGAGACCCCTGATCAACTTGAAAATATGCTAATCCTGTGACGGCCACAGTGTTGCACATCAGAAATAGGGATTTAGTGAACAACACCGTTACAACTATGTTACATTTTTATGTTAAATTGTCATTTTGAAACAAGTTAAAAAGTTTATCACCTCACATTTATGCTCTATGCAATGAATGTTTGCCTTGGCATTGGTGTAAACTCTATTTTGTCATTATGGCTGGGATTAAAGGTGGAGTTTTGGATTTATTGGTCTACCAACTCTCATTAATGGTTATTGATTATTCTTATAGTATTAATTAAAGTGTTAATCAATCTTTGTGTTGATTCAAAATAAATCTCCGCTTTGTGTGTTGTAGAAATGTCTCCCTGGAAAACCTGCAGATTAATTTTTTTGGATAGATGATGAGACTGACTGGTTTATGAACATTAATATCATTTTACATATATTACTTTCACTATAAAAAAGATGTCCATGCATGCCCTGTGTTTGGAGGGAATGTTGCTAAGATTTTGTTGAAAACACTACAAGTTGCATGGGAAATAAAACATTTTCGATCCCACAGTTGGTGCATCAAAATTCCCCATATGAACAACTTTTCCTTTTGACTAAAACACAAACATCTATAATCCGAAAAAGAACCAAGAGAAGCTGCCAGTCTGATTTTAATCTGTTGTCACAGTGATGCACAAATAAAAGGAGATTTTTCCTTTGCATGTTTCTGCTTTATTCCATCGATTTTCCTCGCCAAACTTTCACAGATCAGCGGTTCTGATAAAGGGAAGGAGTGTGATGTTTGGACAGAAAAGCTAAAGTTGTAAATCTGCAGCCTCACCTCGGTGCATGCAGAGACCTGGCCTTTACGGCAGAGGAAGACGTGACTGATGATCGCCACTTTGCAGAGCGGGAGGAAAGGGAGGTGAGGGACAACATGGAGGAGAAGATGGATGCACACTCCTTCCTTTCTCACTTTCAGGTGTCAGAACAGAAATCTTCAATCTAACGGTAACTCTTTTATTTCGTGATGAACAGAAACCGAACATGAATCCTGCTGTTTCCAAGCAGGAGCTGATGGAAACCAATACATGATTTAAACTAAATGTGCACAGGTGTTGTGGAAAATAAAACAGTTCATGCAAACCAAACAACTCTTCAGAACACAAAGAATAATCAGAACCTGATAAAAATACAGTCCCTGACAGATTTCTTCTGGTTTTTGCTATGTTGTTGCCATTAAATGTTTCAAACCTGAGAAAGGTACCAGGTGTAAACATTAAAAGAACTTTTCAAATTCTGATATTTTTTAGGGAAAAAACAGTGATCCAAATCACACTTTTTTGGAAAGTTGAGATCAGTTTACAAACCACACCCAGAGCTGATTACTGCCTGAAATGTAGAAATAAGAAATCACTTAAATAGAACTTATCAGACAACATGAAGTAGGCAAAAATCTTAATCTTAATGTCTCTACACCATAAACATGTGAAACTGAAGTAAAATTCCTTGTTTGTGCAACAATCTTGGCCAATTAATCTGATTTTGATTCTGGTATGGCGACAGCAGTGTGATTGTCTGGGGCTGCATTACCGTTTCAGGACCTGGAAGATTTGCCATAATTCATGGAGGTATGACCTCTGCTCTGTAACAGAAAATCCTGAAGTAGGACGCCATGCTATCAGTTTGTGATCTTTAGCTGAAGCTTGTTTTGGTTTTGCAGCAGGACAATGACCCAAAGGGCACCAGCAAGTCCACCTCTAAATGGTTCAGACAAACCAATATGAAAGTTTTTGAGTTTCCTTGTAGAAGTCTGTAGTTAAATCCTGTTTAGGCCGTTTATGTTCAAAGCTGTTCCAGTTTGGCTGGAATAGACCTATTCTGCACTGAAGAGTGGGCTGAAATTCCTCCACAGATATCCAAAAGATTAATTTGCAGTTATCACAAACACTTGACATCAATTGTTACTGCAAAGGGTGGAACAACCAGTTATTAGATTTAAGAGGTAATTACTTTTTCCACATATGGCCAGGTTGGTTTGGACATCTTCATGTCTCAATAAATAAAATCAGCACTTGAAAAAAAAACTTTTATCAATTAAGATTATTCTGTGGGTTTTTTTCTTCGCAGCTGATTGTGGTTACTTGTGTGGAAACTGATTTCCACGGTTGTCCTCTGAGTCTTTGCTCATTTATATTTACTCCTCAGTGGAGGAGTTATCCGCTGGTTCCTAATACTTTGAGCTTGAATTTAAATTCACACTGCCCTTTCCGCCTCGGGGCCGAATGCGATTCAGAACCCGTTGCCTCCGGTGTTGCTTGTGGTCATCTTTCTTTTCGGAGCGTCCATCTCTCATGTGTCAGGATTAGTCAGGCGCCGACTTGGACCTTGTTATTTAAAACCTCGTCTTCACTTTCTATCAGCATCTAGCTACAAGAGCCACAGAAGAAGAAAACGTCCAAGTTCTAAGTTATTTTACTTTGTAATGAAGGTGTCAGCAGAGATGTGAAATAGGAGACCGACCATAAATTCACACCTTTAGGAAGCGTATACATGTCCGCGCCGGTCCGGCTGCTTTGTGACTTTATGTTTTATTCAGGATCTTTTCTTTCTGCTTGCGTTCACCTCTGCAGCTTTCTGACAACAACAAGGATGAATCTTTGGCAGATGAAGACAGACAAGAAGTTCTTCTTTTTTACCTTGATGTTTAAACTCTTTTCATTCAGTTTCTTTTACAGAAGAACTGCCGGTCATAAATTGTAAATCATCTAAAAAATATTCATTAATATCCATCTAGATCATATTGATTAAAATCTGGTTCAGTCTGGTATAGAACAAATAAAACATATAAAACAAAAACCTGCTTTCATACAAATGGTTTACAGATTAAGTAAATCTGGCTTAGTCCACTTAAAACATGGTTCTTACTCACTAAGATGTTCAATTCAATTCAATTCAATTCAATTCAATTCAATTCAGTTTATTTATATAGCGCCAATTCACAACACATGTCGTCTCAAGGCACTTCACAAAACTCAGGTACATGCATTCCAATTAGTCCTAACCATTGAACAGTGCAGTCAGATTCATTTATTCAAATTGGATAAAAAGTTTTTCTATCTAAGGAAACCCAGCAGATTGCATCCAGTCAGTGACTTGCAGCATTCCCTCCTCCTGGATGAACATGTAGAGACAGTAGACAGTCACTGGCGTTGACTTTGCAGCAATCCCTCATACTGAGCATGCATGTAGCGACAGTGGAGAGGAAAAACTCCCTTTTAACAGGAAGAAACCTCCAGCAGAACCAGGGTCAGTGTGAGCGGCCATCTGCCACGACCGACTGGGGGTTAGAGAGAACAGAGCAGAGACACAAAGAGAACAAAGAAGCACTGATCCAGGAGTACTTTCTATGGGAAGGAAAAGTAAATGTTAATGGATGTAGCTCCTTTAGTCGTTACACCTTGAAAGAAAGAATAGATAAACTCTGAGCCAGTTTTCATGTTAAGTCCAGATAATACGCAGTCTGGTATCTTCTGGTGAGAATGCATGAATGCACAGAGAGAACATGTCAACAGTCAAACAGTCTTTAATTAGTCTCAAATTGAAACAAACATGACAAACATGAATTTATAATAGAAGCAAAGTCCTTCTTTGATTCAGAGCAGGATGCAGCAGATTTCTGGTAAACCATTGCTTCCTTATCTAAGAATTAGCAGACAGTTAATTGGTCAGTTTCAATTATACTTTCTTGCCCTTATCAGCCCTCAGAGAGCTGGACAGATTCATTAGTAAATCAGTACCTTTGTGCCTGTTTGTGCTGTGAGAGGCGTATCCGTGCAGCCAGGTTTGCAGTGGAGAGATTAAACAACATCCACGAAGGTTGGAAAAGAAGAATGTGTGTTTGCATGTAGGATCGATGGATAATCCTGAGCTTAGTCTGGTGTCTGTGCTTTACATCGTATCTGTCCTCACTCTCTGCTGCCAGCTGAGGGGAACAAGATCGTTTGTGTCTGACAAAAAGCTCCGGTGATTTAGGAGCTGATGCTCCTGTTGGAGCCGAGGAAGACCGAGAGGAAGGCTGAGGGATGGCTTATCTCAGGCTGAAAGGATCTACAGAAACAAAAACAGACACGGGCATTGGGAGAGATAATGACGGCAGTGATTTAAAAAGTTTTACACAAACTGTGTCTGACTCTGTTCAGTGGATTAAGAGAGAGAGGCAGCTCCTGTGAAGTTGGACATTCCTGGCTTCAAGGTCCCCAAATGTGGCTAAAACTACAGCGAATGCAACATTCAGGACTTGAATGTGTCTCTTCTCTTCTCTTCTCTTCTCTTCTCTTCTCTTCTCTTCTCTTCTCTTCTCTTCTCTTCTCTTCTCTTCTCTTCTCTTGTCTTGTCTTGTCCTTCTGTTGGCAGTTTCTGGCTCCTAAGTATTTACATTTTGGGTCCTAATTTCTATCAAAGCATTGCTTTCAGTTATAATTTTGATTTAACTTTACTTTAGTCCTTGTGGGCTGCATGGTGGTGTAGATGGTATCACTGCTGCCTTGCACCGAGAAGGTTCCTGGGTTTAAATCCCGGCCTGCGTAGAGTTTTCATGTTCTACCTGTGCAAGCATGGGTTCTCCAGGTTCCTCTCACAGACAAAAAGTCAGGTTAACTGATGTAAATAAAAAACCACATAGTTTCTAACCTAATGACAATATAAATAGGTCATAAAAAATATTACTGCTACTTTCAGTGTCAGAAAAAATAAATAAAAAAACAGAAAATCTGCTAAAACCTTCATCTGTTATTATATTTATATTTAAAAACATTGGCTGGTTCTTTATAATTTTTAGCCAAAGATCTTCTTCTGGACCAGTTTTGTATCGAGGTGGTTCGGATTACATATCTGATTAGCTTTGGACTTCAAATCCAGACGTGTTTTACATTTACTAGCATTTCATTTTGGATTGTTGGCGAGTTCATTTTCAACCGTATTTCTTAAATATTTTTTCACCAGTTTTGATTTGTTGGGGGACTTGATTGAGCTGTGTTTTTAGATGTAGTTTTGGACTTAAAATGGAAAAATACCCTGGTTTAGCTTGGATTCAGACCTGCTTTTAGACCAGAGCAGACTGGATTTGGACTGAGTTTAAATTTTGATTTATTTTAAAGCTGAATGATTTGAATCCAACTAACCCCATTTCTGCTTTTAGGCGTAGATTATGTGTATTGGATGAGGTTGTAGACTAGTTTGATCAGGTTTTAGACTGGTTCAGAACCACCTTCTTTGTCTAGCCTCCACACATTATCTCTAACTTCCTCTATGATTTTGTAAATTAATTACAGACTACGTTGGAGGACTGCAGGATTATTTAAAGTCTTCCCTTCAGTCACATCACAGACTGTAACACATACAGTAGTGCCACTAATACTTCTCCCCACACAAGTATCTCTCAGAAAATCATTCAGTCAGTTCCTCCTGAGATCAAATCCAGAGCCAACGCTCCACTGCCCAGATTTATCCTCCCTCTCCTCCATCAGTGCGGAGGAATAACACACCGGCAGCCCACAGTAATATCAGCTCGCCTATTGATTACGGGGTCAGCTTGGGAGAGATTGACTTCTTCAGACTCAGGTAGAGATTGAAGCTTGTGGGAATTCGAGAGATGCTCAGAGAGCTGCAGAAGAAAATGAACCAAAGAAAGTATAACCAGAAAAGTCCCACGAGAAATACGGGTTTAATCAAGCTTAGATTTGAGACGGACGTCCTCTGAAATGCAGATGGAAAATGCACATCCTCACAATAATTTCTTGTGCTTGAATGCACAACAGATGGGCTGGTTTCATGGGTTTTTCCAAGTCTGTCTCGCTTGTTTCTGAGTCTATCTCAGTTCAACTTCAGACATAGAGAGCAAAGGTTCAACCACTATTGTTGTGGGCACTCTGAAACCTTTCACTACATTATTGCACTATTGCATTATTTAAAAAAATAGATGAAGAAATCATTTTAAATCATTTAAAAATTATCTTGTGTAGTGTTGCTGTGATCCGAAGGCCTCCAGCTGCTATTTGTAAACCCTTCTGCAGATTGTGTGCATGTTTGCAATGCTATGTATAAAAGCAACCCTGTGTACATCAGAAGCTACTGTTATTTTCATAGCAGGATTAATTTTTCATCAGAAACAAGTAAAAGCAAGTTTTAACTGGCGTGGGATCTTTTAAATGGTTTTACCTGTTGCTGCTTCTGATTTGGGTATTTTTTGTTTATCCACATTTACTACATAATGATTTTTTTATTTTACTCTGAATCCCCTCGAAGGCTCAGCAGCTTCACAAGGAGCACATAAAGCTTTGGTCACAGTGTTGTAATATTAGTCGCATCCTCAGGATATTAACCTTAAAAAAAACAAAAACAAAACAACATTTTCTATCTCTTTTAAACGACAGAAAGGAAACTTACACAAGAGACTGACAATAAGAGACAGCTGTCTCCATGTCCTTCAAGCTGCTGAGTGTTTGTCCTCTGGTTTCACCTTGGTTACATGAGACCTTGCAACGCCATAGCAGCAAAATTAATTAAATTAGAAAATAGATGTTAGATGGAACAGTGACCTCCACTTTGTATTTGCACACATAAGCTTCCACCCTGCCTCCACACTGTACAAAACACACACACTATTGTTCTTCCTTTGTAAATTAAATGAAGCTGCTCTCAGGTAATTAGAAGAACCAAAGAGAAGCGAACAGTTGCTGCCTCTTTTTTACAAGCTTTTAAAATCCACTCTCTGCCTGCAGGCGTCCTGTTTGATTCTCTGCCAGAAGAAGCCAGCGTTAAACAGCCGTACCGCATTTATTCATCTAAATCCACTGTAGCTTACTTGGAGTAGACCATAAATGAACCCTAGGAAGCTAAACAATCTTAATCATTTTATGGCTCTGATAAAATGCTTGGCTCTTTTTCATTTTTGAACTTTGAACTTTTCTCAAACTTTTTCAAAGTTTTTAATCTTTTTGGATGGATGGATGGATGGTCATTAAGGTAAATGTACACCATATGTACACCATATTAATCATATTAACCACCATATTAGACCCTGGTTTAAAATAACTGCAGCTCAACGAGTCAAGAGGCTGGACTGAAGAAGCTGAAGTTCAGCCAACAAAAGGAGAACTTAATGGAGAAATATTGGTCTTTTTCCCTTTAATATTTACTGCTTGAGTTTAAAAACTCGCTTTAGTGTATTAAGTAAGATCAGATGAATTTAAGTCAAGTCAAGTCAAGTTTATTTATGTAGCGCTTTTCAGCAACAAGGCACTCAAAGCGCTGTACATGAGGAAAAACATTACAATGATACAGAAAATCAAACAAAGAAAAACAAATCAAATGACAATGATCCTTGTGAGTTTACTGGTAAGAGCTGGTTCAGATCCAATCTTTCTAATAGAGGTAATTAGATCATTAAGTCCTCTGTGGTAAGAATTCATCCTGTGCTAGAAGAAAAATGATAATATTAATCCTTGAGGTCGCTGGTTTGAGGCAGTTGTGGTCGCATCATTCAAATAAGCTGGGTCACTGGTATGAAACAGTCTTAGTCCAAACTTTTTAAATACTAATAATGTTTGACTTTCACTGCTATGAAATTGTTGTTATACAATCCTTCTAAGAAATCAAAAAATCTCTGGTCATTGGTGTAAAAACAGCTTCAGTCAAATTTTCATATACTGATAATATTTGGCTTTTGCTGGTAATCCTTCTGAGAAATCTGAAAATCTATGAAAAGTAATGAAATCACACATTTAGGTAAAGTAAGATAGGAGGGGAAAAAATCTTATTTCAGATTCTATTCTGAGCAGAATACAGTCTGAAGTAGTAGAAAAAAACCTCAGCAGGGGTAAGCAGCACACATAAGTAAAGATTTAGCAAGGCTATGGTGGAATCTTGAGGGTGTGAATATATATAAGTCTGAGTGTGTTTGCAAGAATTAGACTGTCAACACTGATAGAAGCGCCATTGTCCTTGAGAAGAGAGGTGGAAGTTTTATCCATCGGCCGCATAGTCCTATCAGCACACAGCTGGTATGGGAGTGCTGGGGAAGAGTGCCATGTTTATATAACATCCAGGAGACATTTTGTCGATAGCCAGTTAGCAGAAGTTGCCAGGGCCACATTTGGGCGCCGGATTTAGAAAAACAATAATTGCCGTGGTTCAGGCAGTTGTGAATTTCCCACTACCTTAAGAGTTTTACTGGTATGTCCCAATTGCGAATCCAAATAGCCAAATTTCTATTACTTTCCGTAGATCTCGAGCGTACAACTTCTTCAAGATTATATCCTTTAACCTCTGAGACCAACCGCTGCCAGGCTGCGATTCAAGAATCGTGTCCAGCTTGCAATTCTGCTCTCTTAACATTACAGCCTGACTGCTGATCGCTCTACAGACTCCATCCAACATCGTAGGCAGGTTTGGAACGCTTTGAACAGCCGCCCACGTTTTGCGAATCACTTGATAAGCCAGGTAACCACCAACAACAAAAAGCAGAAATCCTGTTATCAAAAGTCAAATATGTACACATCTTCTAAGTCCTCGATCGACATCGTAGTCAGGCACACAATCTTCCACTGCTGCCAAGAATCCATTGTGTATCCAGAGAAGAACGTCCCGTCTGGACAAGAGGGTTCTCCTTTACCTTGTCTTCCAGCCAAAAAAAATTGATCAATTACATTGAGAGACCAGCTGACCAAATCCATAATTTACAAGTTTGGAGGATATGCAAAGCGAGGCTCTGAGAAAAATACTGACAAAAGCAGAAGCAGGGATCAGCAGGGAGGGAGGGAGAGAGAGAAAACGTGTCTTCCACCGAGAGCAAGTAAGGGAGACTGCTTGCTTTGCAGGTGTTTCAATCAGACAATCCATGCAGTGAGTTCTAGCTTTGAATCTGGTTGGACCTGGTTATTCTACCAGGAGGCTGTTACAGTATAGGTCAATTTCACTGTGATAAAACATCACCAGTAAGTAGTTCATTTTAGTAATTTAAATCATTAAGGTAAAAAAGTTACTTGTCTTCTGTACGGCTGCAGAAAAACCCCAGAACCATATGTTGAGAACACCGCGAGGTTTCCAGAACACAGTTCAGGTATCATAAATCCTGCTAAAAGGGATGCACAACTGCCACGTCACATAAAACATGATTTTATTGACAAAATAAAGGCGTCTTGTGGGTACTAAATGTAAGAACATTAAATTGTGTCACCTGATTTAACTCTGCATATGTAACATTGGATTGGTATGTGCTGGTTTCTCATGTAGCTGAAGCGGCAGCAGCAGAATATAGTGTTAACGAGTGGGACGTGTGTGCAGGAATTAATCAAATGAAAAACATCAAAATGGAAAATAAATAGATTCATTCCGGTTTAGGTTCTGAAAATGATCATTATATTCGTCGCTGCTTGTTTCAGCCTCTCGCTCACATCCATCATGTCCGATTGATCATCAGAATCATGTTCTGGCTCAAACACATGAGGCAGAACTGTTTTCAGCTTTCAGAGTTTTGTTACTCGGGGAAAAAATCCATCTGACTGAATAAAAACGCTTCAGAATCTGTA